GGTAGCTCAGGGAGTGAATCAACAAGTGGAATTTCTTGCTCTCTCTCTCATTCCTTCTCTTTCTTTTTTTTTTTTTAATCATTTAATTTTTATTTTTTCCTGATACAATTCTTTAAATTCAGGGATTTCACCTTTCCAACACCCTCTCTCCCATTCGCCATTCTGTTTTCCCTTATATTATAACAATAGTACAGTCCTTCAATAGCAATCACAAGTCCATCATTCTATTTAAGTGTATCCTGACATTGTAGTTATAGAAAATGGAAAGCCCAGCATTCCATTGTCAAGATCTATTTAGCAATTGCACTGGGAGTCCATCTTTGATTCAAGAGTGGAGATGCACTGTGGTGTATCTTTACATCTCAATATAATAGTCATATAGTTACTCCAGATGAATATATATACATGCGTGCTTCCCTATGTAGCTACTGATGTTGTATTTTGATCGAAGGTTGTTTTAGAAAGAACAAATGAGGTTTGTCTTCTAGGCTTGACCTATTTCACAGATCATAATGGTCTCTAATTGTGTTTTGTTTCAAATGCCTGAAGAATATTCCAGAGAGGCCAGAGCCAATTTAAAGAAATTGCCATGGGGAAAAATTAGGAAAGTATGATTAATATAAAATAATTATACAATAAAAACATTAAACAACTAGAAAGATTGTATTTCAGGTTGAGTTCTTTTAAAGAGACTTATGTATTCTATATATTGAAACACTGTTGGCTAGGTTGAAATATTTTTACCTCATTTTTGGGTGGCCCATTTATTTAATTTTGCTTTTGTTACCTGTGCTTTGGGAGGTTTTTTATTTTTTTCTTTTTAAAATTTATTTATTTATTTTTATTGGAAAGTTAATATACAGAGGGGAGGAGATCTTTGTCTGCTGATTCACTCCTCAAGTGGCTGCAACGGCCAAAGCTGAGCAGATCCAAAGCCAGGAGCCAGGAGCATCCTCTGGGGCTCCCACGCCAGTGCAAGGGATTGGGCCGTCCTCGACTGCTTTCCCAGGCCATAAGCAGGGAGCTGGATGGGAAGAGGGGATGCGGGGATTAGACCCGGCGCCCATATGGGATCCTGGCATGTGCAAGGCGAGGACTTAAGCCACCAGGTCACCACGCTGGGTCCTGGGAGTCTTATCCAAGATGTCATTCCCTACACCAAGATCCTGGACAGTTTCACCAACATTTTTTTTTTCCCAGCAAAGTGATAGTCTCAGTTTGTAAATTCAGTTCTTTGGTCCATTTTGAGTTGATTTTTTTATGCAGTGAGATATGTGGATTGAATTTCATACATCTAGATAGGCATATATCCAGTTTTGCCAGTCCGTTTGTTGAAGCGTTTATCCTTACTTCACTGTGTTGTGTGAATGAATAGCTTTGTCAAAAATCATTTGTTTGCAGTGCATGTGGATTAATTTCTGAACGGGAAAGCCCATTTAGGATCTTTCACTTCTTTGTTTAAATCTGCTCTTAAATACATGATTTTGCTTGTGGATTTTCTGAATGAGATTTCTTTGTTGATTCCTTCTTCTGTGAGTTTTCATTAGAGTACAAAAAAGCTACTAGCTTTTTTTTGGGGGGGGGGGTATGCTTAATTTTTAACCTGCAAACTTGTTGAATTTATCAACTCTAAACAGCTTTTTGAGGAGTGATTGTTTTCCAGGTACGACAAGCATGTCAGTAAAGAAAAAATAGATAATTAATCTTCTTTCCCAATTTTTTAAGGGATTTTTTATTTTTTTTTTATTTCTTTCTCACATTTTTCTGGGATTTCTTGTTTTTTATTTCTTTCCCAAATTTTTATGGGATTTAAAATTTTTTTAAATTTCTTTCTACTGTCTATTTACCTTGATAACCATAAAATATATAAGCAACGTAAACACCAACACTAATAAAAACCAATCAAAGCATGTCTCAAGGAAGAAATACAACTGACCAACAAGTGCATGAAAAACATCCAAAAATTCAGTATATGAGAGTTTCCATGGGGCAAACTTGAGTGTCTTTAAGAAATAGATCGGAACACGAACATTTTGAGCTGAGAGAAATTTACAAGTTAAAAACATGGAGGGAACCCACAAAAGCAATCTTTTGATTCTACCTTTCATTTCTTTATATTTTGTCTTCAGCAAATTAATATAATGTGCTTCATTACTCAGAGTAGACAAATCTGTTCAGAAATGACCAAATTATGACCCCCCTTCTAAAAGTGTGAAATCAGTTGTAATTTTCCTTGGTGGTGGAGAGAGCATCTCTCTGTGAATGCCTACAGGCAGCCAGGACTTCCAAAGACAGGAAGCGCATTTATGCAACAAAGCCAAGCCTTTCTGAGTCAACAATCTCACTGCTCTTCATCCACCTTCTCTCACCACACACCCATATGACATAAGCATGATCGTTTCATTTCGTACATCAGAGAATGGGCTGTGGTGTGTTACACCTGTGATGTCACCATTCCCTGGGAGTGTCAGTTCAAATCCTGGCTGTGCTGTATGCAATCCAGTTGCTATAAATGTGCCTGAAAAAGCAGCTGATGATCCAATTACTTGGGCCCCATCACCACTGGGGCACCCAGATAGGTTTTGGGGGTCCTGGATTCAGCCCAACCTTCGCTGTTGCATCTGTTTGGGAGCAAACCTTCATATGAAAGCTCTGTCTGTCTCTGTGCTGTCTCTCTGCTCTCTTTCTCTCTCCCTCTCCTCATTGTCTGTGTCTCTCCCACAGCTTTGTTTTTTTCTTCTTCATTTCTCTGTAACTATTGTAGGCCCCGGTCTCCCAAGGGTTAACTCCACAGCTCAGCTGTTTCTCAAAGGTGTAACAGGAAGGGCAATCATGGCCTGATACATTTAGCCCGCGGCTTGACTGCAATTTCCCTCCTTCCTGCTTCCCATTTTTGCACGTCCTTGGGGGAGCTTAGGTGTTGCTTAACCATTCGGAAGATCCCGGGAGGGGCCAAGCAGACTATATAAGAGAGTTCGACTTTGAATAAAGGCTTCACTTCACAAGAATGAGCCTCTGTGTGTTGTGTGTGTTGTGTGTGTTGTCTGTCTCATAACCCTCGTCCCTCCGCTTGGCTCGGGGTACGTGGCAATGCAGGCATTGCCAACAAACTATGCCTTTCCAGTAACACAAACCTTAAAAATAGAAAGAAAATGGACTCCAAGAAGTTGACTGCTTTAGACAGTCCACAGGCTGACACTAGAATATGAGTTGTCAAAATAAGCCATTGCATTAGTCTCAGTGCCTAACACTGTGTGCTGCAATAGTGGGAAGGAAATCCCACAATGTCCGCTGAATGGATTACATAATGGGAATCAAGGTCAAACGAAGAAGTCCAGAAACCTTTGATGCATTACTTGAAAAATCTCCTTTCCCAATCATGATAATAAGGATCAATGGAAAGGGGGGAAAAGATGGCTAAAATGTCTTCTTCCATTCTGTAAAGCCAGCAAAGTATAATAAAAATAAATCATAGATAGTATTTGGATCATGGTACTTGATTTAATTAATCAATAAACTATAATGTTTTCTGTGATAATTCTGCCATTCAGTCAGCTCAAATACTTATGTTTCTAAAAATCAAACTGTTAACTGTCACACTGCTCAGACTCAACCTGGGATAGCAAAAAAAAAGCTGGAAAACAGATGAGAAATAATTTACCAATTTCTTATCAAAATGAAATTTGCTTAATAAACAACTAAAATACTAAAATAACCAAAGTACTCTCATCAATGCAGCAATGTCATCTTATAAAAACTAGAATCATTCTTACTATTATTAAATTGGCAAATCGCTATGACTGAACTTCTCAGGAGAATCATTTTTCTATTAATTAGGTTCTGAATATAAGATACTATGCGTTAATATATTAAAATGGAATAAAGACTTTGTTATAGTAACTGAAATATGGCTATAAAATTTCAACCAAACACAGTCAAATTCTTGAAGGAATAAGACGCTTGTCTAAGCAGTTACATAGAGTTGCGGAGACATATATACTTCCAGGCATAAGGAAGATATTCAGTAAAAATGACTTTTTTCTTTAAAAAAGTTATAATTTCTCTTAAATTATAACTGAATAATGATAATCTCTCTCTTTGAACCCTGTGTCCACTTAAAATTTTGATAATAAGGATGAGATGAGAATGAAAAATGAGAATGAAAATAAAATTTCATCCCATTTTATTCTTAACATGCAAAATTCTAACACTATTTTATCTTTACATGATAACGATACTATCTTTGGCTCATCCTGGTTTACCCAAATTATATGTATATGCCTAAGCAATGCCTTATCTGTCATTAATTTGCCCAACGAGTTGGCTTTCTTTATGAAACAAAACTCAGTTAGTGATAAATGACACGCTGGAAAGTCAGCCTTATATTAATCACTTAAGCTTTTCTTACGTGTTCCACACAGAAATCATACATCAAGACTGGAACCTGTAGCTAAGACAGATTTGCACTACAGGAACTACAACAGTATCTGGGCTTCAAATCGAAAGCTCTTCAACATTTTTTTGTGTACATTTCATAGGCATATTTTGGTTCATCTATAACTGATGCAATTACTTGCCATTGTGTTTAATTCGAGTTATCTCAGCCCTAGAAGCAGATGTAGCTTGTGGTGTGGCAGGGAGTGTTTTGGAGCAAGACAGATCTGATGTCAATCTCAGCCAATTCACAAGTTACTTAATTTAGTTCCTTTACCTCTGAAACGGAAACAGGAACTAACTCAGAGCTTTGAAAAAATTATAGTTGAGATAATTCATGTAATGGTTCATCTTTATACATTGCAAAATAAGTTTAAAAAATATTTCTAGCATTTTGTTTTTAATAGTAAAACTTAGTTTTTTCCAATGATTGGGCCTGTGTGCCAATTTTCACAAACTTATCCACAAAACTAAAACACAAGTCTTTATGCAACAAGAACCAAACACACGGCTCCTCATGATAAGAAATCACAAGGCCACATGTACAAAAGTTTGAAAGAGCATACCATATCCCACGGTGGAAAGCCCCAAGTGTTTCATTCTGTTTTTCACGAGTTCAGCAAGCTCTTGTCTCTCGGACCGCCTGTAGAGGTTCAGCCGCTGCTGGGTTATTTTCTCTGCTGTCTTCCCCGAGTGTTTGGGGCCTTTTCTGCTCAGTCTCCGGGCCCACTGCATGCTCTTCCTTCGCAGTAGGGGGTGGTCAGACTGGTCACTGGACGTGGAGTTGCGGTGGTTGCTGCGGTGATGGCCTTGCTCTTTGCAGTCTTTGGTGTCTTCCCACTCTTCCACACTGATAGATATTTGAGACTTCAAAGGAAATGGATATTGATAATTAGATGATCAGTAAAACCTTAACCCTCAATTGATGTAATATCCTTTGGTGAAAATCTTGCCCTAGTTATGTTTATATATGCTTATACCATGAGAATTTTCATAGAAAGAGCAAAATCATAATTATTCTTATATTATTAGAGCATGTTTTCTTGAATTTAGATGTTAAACATAAAGTATCTGTATCAAACAGTACATGTTTTAGTAAAAATATTTAGTTCTATGCATGAGTATTTTACTAAATATGACTGTTAACAATTATTTGAAGTATACCAATAAAACAAATGGTTTAGTAAGTATGCAAATAAGGAATATGTATGTTTTTGATCATTTACTAAATGAATTCCACCTACAATTTAAAGATTTCAAAACATGTTTTATTTTTTTTAATTAATATTTTAAAGGTTTCCAAATTTTTGCTCTTTCTAAAAGTGGTACTGGAATAAACTTATAAAGTGTGATTTTTAAGACATCATGGGCACAAGAAGAGACAAAAAGCATTTTTAACATCATGCATTCATTACTGACCATATAAAATGCTTTTTTACTAAAATATGAAATATATTCCAGAAATTCCTAAAGTATTCTCAGTGAAAAGAGGTGTTAAATGTTGATGTTTCACAAATGCTTTGTAGAACTCACAACCAAAGCTTAACCATGCCATTCTCCTCAGGAGGAACAGTACACACACTCATGAAATCTAGTTAGGCTTACCTTTCTTAACTGCATCTATTTCTTAATGTAAGAAGCTCTCCTTACATCCTGAATCTTTCATCAGCAAAGTTTACCATTTGAATAAGGCTTTTTGCACCAGGAAGTCACGTGAATACCAACGCTCAGACAAGTCAAAGGTTTTCCTTTCTGAAAACATGCACATGCGCCCAGCACAGCTCCCCTGAATCCCGCTGTTCCTGAGAACAGCATTCATCAGTCTGCACACAGCTGTTTCCTTTGTGTGGATGGAATCTTGAATGCCGGCTACAGCATGCATGTATTGTTGGCCTCCAGAAGAATAGAATTTAAATTACCAATTTAAGTAAGGTCAGGAAGTGGATCCAATAAAACCCTTGAAATGTGAATATAAATTATGGAGGCTTGGTCAGTACCTTGTATACCATTCCTAGCAGCAAGCTATGAAATTATCCTCACTTAAATTCAACCAAAAAATTAAATATTCATCCACATTTGTGTTATAGAACGACACTGTCTTAGTCTGATAAGAGACATGTTTTGCTTAAGCTTCATGTTTTCACAATGACATTACTTATTTAGAAATAAACGCATTTCATCTGCTACAACTTAAGTTTAAAATATAATTTCTTAATATACATTAGCAAGAACTAGAAATCTTTATAAGACATCTATTTTCACCTACTTGCTAATATAATAAAAATCCTCTTCTATGGAAGTAAAAAAAATCTAGTAAGTAATATCTACTATGATTTAAGGAATGCCAACCTTTGTGCACAAATTTGTGTGTACTTTATAGAAAAAGTTAGGTTATATTAGTTTATTCATATTCAGACACTGGTTTTCAGAATTCAAACACAATCTTACTTTAGATAATCTTCAAGTACTCTTTTCCATCTTAAAGCTTCAATTAGTGATATTCAATTTCTAATAAAATGTAGAAATAATAATGTTGCGTGACCAAATACTGAAGATATTAAGTTCATGTAAAGTCATAAGCTAATAAGACTTTAGGAGGGGAAATGGGGATTCCATTTCCTTTCAACATAGAGTCCTTGTAGTGCGGTGGGCTGAATTGCTACTTGGGATGCCTGAGTCCCATTCAGCAGTAGCTAGGATCCTCTGTTTCTGACACAGCTTCCTGCTAATGAACCCTGGAAGGCAGCAGGCTCAAGCACATGGGCCCCAGCCACCCACGTGCAAGTCCACGATGGGGTTTGGCTACTGACTTTAGCTGGCTCCAGCAATGGCAGTTGTGGGCATTTGGGCACTAAGCCAGCAGATGGAAGACTCTTGCTTGTCCCTATGTCTCTTTTTATATTGTTCTGCATTTCCAATCAGAAGGAAGGAAGGAAGGAAGGAAGGAAGGGAGGAAGGAAGGAATGAAGGAAGGAAAGAAGGAAGGAAAGGAAAGAAGGAAGGACTATTTCAGGTGTTTCCTAGCTCTAACCCTACCAAGAATGGTCCACAACCTGTATGTAAAATGAAAAAAATAGTGTTCATATTTTACTTCACACGAATGTTATGGAAATTCACTGATCACATTGATATCTTTAAATAAATTTAACTCTAACATCTCTATATAATAATTATACAATAATAATACTGTATAATAATTATACAATAATAATATTGTGTAACAATTATACAATATTATAGGCTTATAATAGATAACATATAGTAACATAATATTATATATGTAATATATATTAATAATTATGTGATAGTAATTATTATTAGTAATATATCCTATAAGGATTATCATATCAAAAACACTGATAATAAGTACTCCCATTTGTATACCATGGATACTGTGTGTATGTGTAGACTTTTAAAGGAAGCATACTTGTTAATGTGTATTGCTCATGTTATGGCTCTCATATTTCAATGTGGCATCAAGATCCAGGACAGAAAGTGCAGACAAGGAAACACCACATTACCGCTAAGCAGAACCTGTCCTTGAAGAAAGAGTCAAAGTGGTTGGCTGGTTCAAAGCAAGGGTCCTAATGAATCAGGCCTGCGGTTACAGACCAGTTGTTCCACATTCAGCCTGATATTCTTGATTATGAAGCGGAAACTCTCCAAAATAAACAACAATAATGACGATCACATTGCTATTATATTCTAAATTCTGAAATCATATAGACCCTCCATAAGATTGTATGACAAAGTGCCAGAGCAAAGGTGTTCACTAATTATTAGTCACTATATGGCTCATGTTTCCAGAGACAGGACAAGAAAGATAGGAGAAATAATTAAGAGAGATATGTAGAAATGAGAAAAGGGTTTTAAAGAGACAAAGAATGACTTGTATTTTTGATGCAGCTCTAACCGAGGCTAACTCTATTTCACAGTTAATCAGAGAGTTCTATAAACAAATTCTTGGAACTAAACTTTTTTAAAGTTTAGTGAATCAAAGCAGAGAAAAGTGTACTTGCAATGAAAGTGAATGCTTATTGTTCTGCATTGATTCCAAGAGTTATGCTACGTTATGTTTCTCAAAGGACTCTCTGGTTTGACTTTTTAATACTTTTTGTCTAATATATTCGCTAACTTTGAAGATCCAGATTCAATAATAATGAACATATTTATGTATTATGTAATATGCTTCCATAAACTATATCAAGTTCAGTTACAAAATGAAAATCTGTACGAATATTGCAACAATATTCTTACATATTTAAAATACTGACGTTTTCAAAAAGGTCTGCTGTTTTTACAAATGCTGATTAAACAGTAAGATTAAGTGAAGACTGAAAACATCTTTTTACCGAAATGGAAATCTTCATAAATAAAAACGTTCATTAAGCTTAAAATAGCTTGATTACCTTGTTGTTTTTATAAGGGCAGAGAGAGTTTGAGTTGTAAAAAACATGACGCAGTATTTTCTATTTTTGACACACATAGAAAAGCATACATCAAAATGACTTAATTCAACTTCCTCTCCATTTTTTATTGAGCAGTTATTCATGTCACAGGTTACTGAGCAATCTATGGAACAAAGTGCCATTCCAAAAGAAATCAATTCACCCAGCAGTTTAAAGTGATTCTAATCTGGATTCATGGCTCCCTCAAGAATCATTTCACGGGCTTCATAACACTCTAGATTGTTTATCTATTTATTATTGAAGACAACTGGAATTGTTAGTAAAGAAGGAAACAAAGAAAATGGAATCACTGCAGGCAAGTTGTTTCCACATTTTGTAAAAAAAAAAAAAAAATACCTGTTTCATGTCTCCATTCAAGCAAGCAGAGATTACATGAACCCCTATGACAGCATCTGCTTTTAAATCTATATGCACCACACACAGTACAGCTGGGATGCTGGAGAATTTTTTCACGAAAAAAAAAAATCTGAAATACCCTTTTTCAATTTCTGAGGGCTCAGTTTGACATGTCTATGTAATCTGTGATCTAAATCAGACAGAAAATAGCTAGTCACATTGTATTTATATGAATTTCAACATATTTGTGGAATCATAGACTTAAAAGGAAAGCAGGAATTCTTGCAGCATATAGCCTTGAAGACAGCAACTGAGAGTCCTGTGACATAGTGCCGGTCAAGCCTACACTCCTTCACACACACACACACACACCACAAAACTTAAAATCTGGTAGTGATATTCTAAAGGAAATCTAAAGCCTAATTCAGTAAATACATTCCAGTTCAAATACTCATTTTTAAGAACTAAAAACTTGATGTCATAGTAACAATTAATTTAAGACTTGACCTCATGCCTTATCTCTAAAAATGACCTATTTCACCTGTGTGGTCTCTCAGGTCTGTTTCAGTACTCTCAGTGTTGGTAGAACCTCCATGAGCTCACACACATTAAAACTGAACATTTAAAATCCAAGTAAAATATCGACCTCTTTTTTTAAGAAATTACATGGCCATTGTTTGCCTCTCTATCATTTCTACCCATCTACTCTTGGGTTATTCCTTGTAATTATTTCTGTTTCAACAGAATCTCCATTTTCTATAATTTGTTCTCTCTAAGCTTGCACATCAACGTGCACATTCATCCACCTTTGGTGATTCAGTTGCCCTGATTTGCGGGTGTGTTGGTGTTTGTGTGAGAAACCATTCCATTGAATCTGCACTCTTCACTTACACTTTCCCCTCTGTAAAATTTGAAACTTGGTTGATTGTTTCCCATTAATTTTCAAGGCTGTTACTCAGAAAGAACTAGTCTACATAACTATTTCCTACTGCCTTTTCTATTGCTTTAGGCCAAGAAAAAATTTTGCTTACTTTTTCCTTCTTTAGTACATTGAATAAATTA